ATTCTTTTCTTTTATATTATTGGACCACAGCTCTCTGGAAACCTTGATTCTGATTGGTCAGTTGCAGTATTGCACAGTCAATTGCTTTTGAATAAAGATGTGTAATTGACCAAAGTTACCTTTCTTTTCACAAAAGAAAATAATTTCCTAATTTCAAATAAATTAAATATTTGTGTCCATTTGTTTGGTATATGGTCATGTAATAAGACGGATAATCATAGTCAGCCTGTCATTTGCGTAAAATAAGCCAATGTTTTGTGCTAATTAATTTATTTGTACTTATCTTTTAATAGGTTTTATTCATTATTTATTTGAGACAATTCAGGATGACTACAGTCTGAACAGACACTGAAATGTTGAGAAAACTGATTGGATTCATAAACTGAAAGATGGGGAAAAAGAGAGAAACAGAGAACAAGTAAATAATGACAGAGATGGAGGAAAGCGCAGAGGGAGGAGCACAGTGGTATTGATCTGAGGATCAGGCTTCACTCTAATCCGGCTTAATATGGACAAGAAAATGCTGCTCATCATGCTTTTCTCACACAAACACACACAAGGGCACATTAACACTCTTACACATACACTGGCACTGAACACACTCTTTGAAAGTCAAGGCTTGAGAGCGATCTGCCTTATATACCTTTCCTTTCATTCTTTTTTCCCTCTCTCTCTCTTCAGTTCTTTCGTTCCTTTACACACATTCTTCACTCTCATGGCAGGTGATTTTGCTAAGGTTGTGGAATGCAGACTGAAGCACACCACTGCTCATCCACAGCTCAGCTGATCAATTATTCAATAGAGAGAGGGAGAGAGGGCAAAAAGAAGTGGAGAAAAAAAAAGGGGAGTAGGGAGGTTGAAACAGAGTGCGTGTGGGGGGTTGCAGTTGTCACTTCAAACAGCAAAATCCATCAAGGCTCAACAGCAATCCTTAAAGTCACTACGAAATCAAAATTGACAATTCCCTTTTTATGGAATATTGCAGTGTTTATTATAAATGGTTTGTCCATGGCATGCACATCATTAGTTTTTCAATTCACATACCCGCATAATCTTAATCAAAAACACTGACTTGCCCTCGCAATATTTCTTCTCTGATGACATGTGCACTGGCACGAGGGCGGGACAATAATCCCTCCCATCCAGCAACCTAAATGGCAAACGACAACGATGCAATGATCCAATCAAATCCCGCCCTACATTTTTACTTGTTTAAGAAGGCAAAAAAAGGTCTACACACTATGAAGATAAAAAAAAAAATTAAAAAAAAGGATTTTAGTTTGTTAACCCTATACTGTATCAAATTTGATATGCAAATTTCTAAGGCCTCTAAATGATTAAGGGTGTATTCACACCTGTCTTGTTTGGTTCGATTGAATCAAACTCAAGTTCGTTTCCCCCCTTTGGTGCGGATCTTTTGGGCAGTTGTGAATAGAGAAATCGCACTCGGGTGCGGACCAAACAACCGTACCGAGACCCAGCTGAAGAGGTGGTCTCGGTCCGCTTCCAAACGAACTCTGGTACAGTTGAATGGATGAACCAATGAATGGATGACCTTAAGCACACGAGTGGTTTTGTTTACAATTTCTGGTTCACTTGCAAAAAGGTCAGTGTGAAAGCGAACCGCACCAAACAAAAAAAAATCAACATTGGTCAACATTTGGTCCGGACCAAAGCAAGTGAACTAGTGGACTTTCCTGGTGTGAATACACCCTTAACATGATCAAAAATATGTAATATTTATGAAATAATAGTAATCTGTAATACAAGAGCTCACAGATTTACATTACACGCTCAGAATTTCATCTTACTTTTTGGGTCATATATAAGCAACTGCACTAAACTGCATATTTTTGCTCAGGTTGAGCCTTTGAATAACTGAGGTGACACTTTATGAGCCATTAAAGCCTGATGTCTCAAATATGACACTCAACAAAAAAAAATCTATGCAGATTTTAATTGTTTTATTATTTTGGATCACACTTTAGTTTGGGGACCAAGTCTCACTATTAACTACGACGCTAGTTAACAGTAAAAATTGGTCCTTAAAATAAAGTGTTACCTTATTTTGTCTACAGGTTTAATAAGCTGTTCTATTTCAAAACATTAGATTTTTCTGACAATGATTTTATATGTCAGACTTTACTGGGCTAAAACTGAGCTGAGAGCTGGTGAAAAACATCAATTTAGTAAAAAATACATACAAGATACAGTTCATGTGCAGAACTTTCTGAAAGACAATCTTTCCAAATACAGTATGTTCAAGCAGGGTCTATGTATAAGAAAGAATGAGGGAGTTGGTTGATTCATGATCTGTCAGATCTGCCTGCTCAGCTCGACCAACAAGCATCACTGGGGGGCCGGGGCGTGATACTAATAGTTCTGACATCAGGGAGCGATCGGCCCAGCCCTCAGAGTCGATACCCTGCACACTACAAGCAACCTGCAGAGCACACTGCAATACGCACAGCCTCAGTGGTGCAACAAACCCACCCACTGTTCTTCTCTGTTTCTATATCACCCCCAGCACAGGACTTCCCTTCATTTAAAACCTCACACACACACACACACACACACACACACACACACACACACACACACACACCATTTAAACCCTCACACACACATAGAGAGTGCTGGCACTGCAGGAGCGTTGCCAGGGTGACAGAAGGCTGGTCTCCACCCTGCAGGCCTCTCCCCTCCTGAACATATGTTGCACCAGTATTAACACACACATACAGTGATAGTCAATAAGACAAGTGATCTCTCGCTCTCTCACGGTAACAGACGTGGTAATAGTCTATCGCTCACCGCAAACACTCACAAACAATGTCTGTCTCATCTGCCTCTGTTTAGACAGACTTTACATCCATCTTCAGTTTTTTATTCTCTCTGTCTTTCTGTCTGTCAGTCATCACTGTGGCCTCAAATTACTGTGCGACATCCAGTCAGTGTTGGGTTGGGTGACAACAGTGGCATCACCCTGGTTACAAAGACAGATGACAAGGCAAAAAGAAACCATGCAGCTTGAGTCAGCTCCTTCTGTTACTGCTGACACACACACACACAATCAATATGCATCACTCACACAGACGCCACCCTTCAGTTCCCTGCAGCTGTTGAGTCAGGTCCTCTTTAATTATGAGAATAGAAGACAAAGTGTGTGTTTCAGTGCAACCATCACATGGGGAGGCCTGAATTTATGCATGTTGAGCGTGCATGAAAATTTGTAACTGTACTGTGAATGTGTTTGCTCAGTGGAAGTAACAGACTCGCACCTTTCCCTGATGCGACATTCGGTAAAATGGTAATTTCCCCTAGGACAACTGATCGGTTTAAATGCAAGGCATTAGTATCATGAACGAACAATGAAAAATTAGTTTTTACAGCATTTATTAGTTTAGGTTACTTTATAAATATATTGTACCGTTCAAAAGTCAAATTTCTGTTTTTGAGAAAAACTCCCTTATGCTCAACAAGGCTGCATTTATTTGATCAAATACATAATATTAAAACAGTAATTAAACCGTAATTAAAAAACAACTTACCTATATTGATACATTTTAA